ATTCGCTCCAGGTGATCCACAGATTGGACAGTTTTTTGTCGTCACCCATGAGAGAAATCACAAGGCAAATGTCATTCTCCGAGCGCATTGAGGCTACCACGCACCGATGCAGTTGCCGGTGAAAGGGCAATGGTGGTCCATGCCTGTTCCACAAAAATAAGATGCTCTGACCAAAATGCACAAGGATGATTGTCTTCACAAGTGGCCTAACCTGCGAACAACCGAGGCAGCACATCAACCGAGGCAGTCACGCAGGATGCACCGATTGCACGAGCTGCCTGCACAGTTCAGAGCTCAGAGCTCACCGGCAAGCCACTGTAAAGCAAGGTGTTCAAATCTCTTAGAGCAAGAAAGGGGCCGGTTTGACTCGTGCAGTCGGATTCCAAGCCCCAGGTGGACCAGGACCAATGTGTGGTGGTCGCTGGGGTCACCGGCAATGATGCGACCGTGGAGGCTTCCAGTTTGAACACTTCCTCAGCGTCCGGATTTCAACAGCATTTTGGTAGGTCTCGATAGATACAAACTCCCGAACAACGCCTCCGACAGCGTTTGTCCGCGCTTTTTGAAGCGCTTGCTTGAAGTGATCATTGAAAAAAACAACAGGGCGTTCGCCCAGATCAGGTCAGTTAGAGTTCCCCGATATACCACGATGTACCACAATTCTTGTCACTGACCCTTCGCCTGGAGAAGTCCGCACCAGGGGTGATCTCCAACCCAAATGGATGCGCCAAGGCACGTGCACCAATTGGAGGCGTACAAAAGCCGGGGCGCATCGTCACCGCCTCAGGTGGAACATCGCACCGCCGATGTCCGGATCCAACAGCCTGGGTCCAACATCCTCTGCTGTCCTTCATCACAGATCGGTGGGTCCAACTAGGAGGACCCAGGTGGGGGACACACCAGGTCCTCGGCTTCTGCGTCAGAGACACTGCCAAAGTCCATCTAAGCTGCCGCACCACCCAGCTCGAACTGCCCAGTGACCTACACGCGTGCAAGGTTGAACGGTATAGCCTTCAGTCGGAAGGGTATCACCCGCAGTTCACTTAAATAGACCCCCCTGAACAAGTCGAAGGACCGCAATTGAACACACATTCTGGTTTCATATAAATCTCTATTCAATAATAATAGTGTCCGCCGATGAGATGCTGTATCATGCTGTCGTAGAAGGATTAGCACCAAGTTTAACCAACCCATGCTCAACTACTGGTTGGCCCAGCGGCTGTTGGCATTCCTCGGAAGCACGGCCACTGGTCGGCGAACTTCAGAACTTCAGAAACAGGGCCCTTCCATTCACAAATGTACTGGATTTCCAACTCACAGACCCCTGCTCTTCACAGAATTCGTGGAACCCCAAGCCCCGTCTTCAGCGGTGGGTGCTTGTTGATGTTGCTGTTGCCGTGTTTTGGGGAGCTGCTGTGTAGAGCCGCATCCGCATTGCAGGAAACACGGCCAATCGAAAACGAACGCCCTGCCGTTTCCCGTTGGTTTTGCCCCCCGCCTCTTGTGACGGCTTGATACTCTTGCAGTTGCCAGGATCCCGCCACTGGGTCCTCGGAAAGAAGAACAAATATATAGTAAAAAACAAGTCTCAAACACCAGAAAAATCGGCTGTGGCTTTGCCAACTTTCATTAAATCCAACTCCAGTCTACGATCATCCGTTTGCATTGTACATCCTACAACCTGGAACCGGCATGAGCCGAAGACGTTCAGAATTCGGCCCCCGACGCGAGGAAGTTGTAGAGGAACTGAATGGATATCCTGCAAATGGCACCAGAAGATCCATCCAAGATACCCCTCTTGGCATCGAAAGCAGAATACTACTGGACCAAACGGTGGACTCCTGGGGTGGAGTATCTGGCAAGAGACGCTTCACTATAGCAAACAAGGCTCAAGACTGTACGGCCAAAATCCAGGCAATCCGCTGCTCGGGGGGTGCAACAAACTAAACCACGACCCGAAGGAGCACAGATTACCTGCCCTCTTATGAACTGCTCAAACTGCCTTCATATCCATTCCACTTTTCCAGATCCACGGCGGGGGAAATCGGCCGATTTCCGCTGCCGAGCTGCCAGGAGCCGAAACCGTAGTGCAGCCAATAGGACCACCTGACCGTCCGGTCGGGGGACCCGAAGCAGCGGAACGGAGGTCGGACGGCGGCGGGTTCCTCTGGGTGCCCCGAGCATGTGAGGCTCTACATGGAGCTCTGCCAGCAGGTGTGGCATCGCTAAGATCACACCGAAGACCTGTTGACTGGGCCGTTCCAAGAAGCTGGGACGATCGATCGAAGGACGTTCATGGGGCGCGTTCCAAGAGGCTGGGGAGATACGGAAGGTGCGAAAGGATCACGGAAAGCCGCACCAGAGCTGCTTCTCCTCTTGAAACAGGTCAGGCTCCAGGATGGCGAGTCATCTGCAAACAGCATATCTGTCAACCACCAGGATGGCCCATGTAACAAAGAACAATGATCTGTCCCAACTGTGAGAAGCAGTGAGCAGGTGTTTCTCAGTGTGTTCGCTCTTGCGGCGAATGTGGGTGTCACATGGCTGGAAGCAGGGATCGTGGTCTATACCTCATGACGGAGTTCCTCCGACTTTGGACAAAAAGAGCTCATAACTCCAAATCAGCCCATAAAAAGGGACACAAGAGCCACACACACACTCCACCAAATCAACCAATGCTTGGGCACCCAACCCCTCAACCCCTCACCCACACTCACCGCCCAACACACCGCTCAGGTGCCAGGCCGGCGTGAATCCGACCACCTCGGTCTGTAAGTGTTCGACATGGCCGGGTCTCACTCGTCCGGATCATCAATGGCAAGGTGAAAGCCATGCGTCGACATGGCATGCGGTGTGTGCACGGCGCGGACACAGCGTTGACAGAAATCACCGTGGAAGAGCTTCAGCTCGGGACTACAAGGGTGAAGCATTTCCACTGTGGAGAAGCTAGAAATCTCCTGGCGGCTCGGAGGCTCTGCAAACGTTCAAGAACAAAAAAGGGATCACAAAATATCAAAGCATCCAAAAACCTTGAGATGGCCGTAGTTGGCCTATGACCCCCAACGACATAGGATTGGGGGCATTTCTGCTTTTTAGCCAAAAGTCCGTCTCAAGGTGCGACTTTAAGTCGACCGGACCGCACAAAAAGCGGGCTCCAACGGGCTCCTGCAGCGGAGATTTTGATGCTCGTGTTTGTGACAGTCTTTGGCCTTACACTCTGCATCATCCACCTCCGTCGGCCAGGACCCCAAGTCGGGGTCCCGCGGCTGTGGAGGCCGAAGCGACTGTGGTCCAGTGGCCCCCGGCGTTTGTGAGATGTTTTTTTCATTTTTTTCCGCAACGCACAAGACTCGAATACCTATCAAAACAAAGGCGACCGGATCCACGGGCAACGCACGATCTGCAAATGTCTGTCCGAGTGCTTTGACCCGAACAATGGGAGTATCCATGGGTTGCATACATGACCACTCTTCTGCAAGCCTCCAAAAATATACATATACCCTCAGGCCTTTGGACTGATGAACCACGCAAAAAGCGCAAGGCAACGACCCAAGAGAAACCAAACCAAAAACGGGTCAACCGCTCCGAATCGCCGCGGGAGTACACCACACCTGGTTGGGCTTCACCTCCTCACCATTGCCATCCCACTCCTGAAGAACGAGCTGGGCCGAACGAGGTCCCACGCCGATGCACGACCCACGCGAAACGGAACCAGGTTCCTGAGAATGGTCGTCGGCACATGGGAGATGACTGAAGTTCATTCCTGGAGCTTCCAAAACCTGAGCCGCCTGGCATCGATCTTTCTGTCTCGCTGCGCATGCTACGCATCAAACTGGCACGCACCGCCCTCACCCAACCGCCCTCACCCCTTTGGCTCCTCTTCCTGCCCCCGCTGTCGGAGGCCCATGGCTATTGAACTAGGGCAAACTCATCTACTCTCGAGGCTTGTTGGAGTGAACCTTTGCTCGAAACTAGCTAGACTAAAGTCAACAATCAGAGCTGTCTGCCTGAAAAGTCCTGGAAATTGGCCCGAAACAGCTAAGAGGCAGGTTGGCAACCATCATCTGAGAAATAACTGAGGCGATTGTGGCGTTTTGAGTGTCATTGACCCCTCATAACTCCCAGGCCAAGTGAATGACCAATCCTACCTTTACCACAAGTAGCTTCTGCAAAGCTCAGCCGCTCAGTTTTCGGACTGTGTTGGCGTTTTGGGCTGTCTGTCAAGTTGGCAAGTTGGCCAATCAGAAACCCAAAGATTTCAGCCAATGAGGATCGCAGCGGCGCCCCTGTCGCAGAGTGGTGCCGTGGACCACCGTGAACCGTGAAAAAGCGGGCCTTGTTCGAGGTTCTTGCTTCTCCAAAAAAGTCGGATCCCTCCCAAAATCCGAAGTCGAGCCCGAAATGCAGGTAGGTCAAAAAGCAAGGCCCTGTGTCCTTTTCGAGAAAGCAAAGATCTAGCAGCGCCTCTGTTACTGGTTTCTGGTGCTCGGGCCCAAAAAACAAACTTTCTTTTTAGGCATGTTTTGCTTGGACAAGCCTTTTGAATGAACAAGACCATGACGAAAAACACCCCAGAACGATCCCTGCGCCTACAGCGTGCTTCGGCCATGCCAGGCAAGGACTCCCAGGCCTCCGGTGGTGCCACCGCGACCAACGGCCGGAGAGCCGCCAAGCAGGGGAGCCATGGCAGCTACGTATGTTTCAAGAGGTCATCCAGACGACGTGGATGACCTTTACCTGACATGGGCTATCATGGGCTATCATCTTCCGACCTCTACAATCTGCTGATCATCACAGGAGCGCAACAGCGTATATGATGATGATCTTTTCGTCAAGTTCGGAGCTTCCCTCAAAGCAGTGTTTTGGGAACCTCGTCTTCATCCACACCTGTCGCTGCCATCAACCATCGCCCCTCTTTCTCTCTTCGCGGAAGCTTGCAGCTTTGCGGACACCTTTGTCGAATTCCTATGGACAAACATGCACTGGAGGCCCCTGGCATCTCACTTTGTGCTCAGATTCGTTGCCTTCGAACGGCGGTCTTCTTCTCGGTCAAACGACAGCCACCCCCTTCGCAAACCCAACAACTGCAGCGCAAAAAGACACCCTCTTTAAAGGAGATTGGGGATGACCAGTTTCTACCAGGGCGTGCGTGACTTGGAAGGCCTCCAACTCTGATCGCAGGCGCTGCGTCAAATGCATCAAGGGGTCCTGGAGCAAAGCTTGAGTGGAAACAGGCAAAACTGGCCAGTCACGGTCGCCTTTTTGCCATGCTTCGACGGTCTAACTGCACAGGTTAGACTCAGACTCGACCTATTTCAAGATTAGAGTCAGACTCTAAGCTGTCAAAGCTAGGTTCACTATCTCTGCATGCATTGGAGTGTACCGATCCGGTGGATCTGGGTTTCTACGGTCACATGAACTGTACAACCAACACCACACTCCCCCACCTGCTGCCACCCAGTAACCAGCTTCCCCCTGTCGTTGGAGTGCGGCAGCGACCTCGAAAGAATCCCATGGGATTGTCACCGCGCGGACTCGCGCTGAATCTTTGCTGTACATATATATCTCTACCCTGGGAGTCCAAGACCATTTTAAAAGAAGTGTCTTTAGGTGATCCGAAAACGAATTCCTCGCTACTTCGGTGGTGGCAAAAATAATAGTCTTTGGACTTCTAGGATTATATGATAAGTTATCATCAGCTATCAGGTACAGTATAAAAATGTATAAATGTTGACTCGCTTTTCGTGGTTTGAGACCGCACCCCAGAGGAAGGGAATTCAAAGGACCCTTCCTCCCAACACTGAGGCAGTGCACTGGAGGGGAGTGACAGGGAGGCTCTCAACCTGGCACCACAGCCGGATCAAATGTGCATGGGTGGCTTTGATTGGACGCTTGAAGAAAGCACGGTGAAAATGGGCTACAAGGCTGGAGTGTCCTTATCCCAAGTTGTGGGCAGTTTCTGAACTCGACACCACAGGAGCCATTATCTTTCTTGAATAAAATTGTGTTTGGTTTTGTTTTCGGAGGCTCGTGTGGGGGGGTAGAGCGGGTTGAGGTCGACGTGTACACAAAGCCTTCAACCTCATCCTTTAGTCTGGGCGGCCACTCCACACATAAAGACATGGAAGCGTCCCACAGTTGGTTCAACACGCTTCGGCAATAAACTCAGGGTCCCCTGGTCGTGACACCGCTTCGATCTGGTTCTTTGCGTACCGAAACCTGGAGCCTCCTGCCGCACCGAGCACACCAAACCCATCCGCAATCATCCCGTCAATTGCTCGGGACCGGGGCCTTCATGGACTTCCGACCTCCCAGCAACGCGCACTTCCGCAGAGCGAACGCCTGGTGGCAAGGGGCCAGACTCGGGCCATTCGGGCGACTTGGGCCCGCGGTAAGAGACCGTACGCGGGCGAAGCACCAGTAGCTTCAAAGTCTCTTGGGAGGTTCGGAAGCTTCAACGCATTAACTCAGCTGACATGTGTTTGGAGGAGTCCAAAGCTGTATGTCCTGCTCTCAGGAAGCCCATCCAGCTGGAGCGCCCAAAAGCTTCCAGCTGGGGCGCCTCGTCTCGTAGAGCATCGATGCTTTCTCCATGAGCTTCCTTGCGTCGGGAAAGCGAATGGAACTCGAACTCGTGGAAGACAGCAGCTGCAGCACAGAGCACAAAATCAATTGCAATGTTCACTATGTGTATATATGTATATATTAATCAATATAATCGAATAATAATATGTCTAAAAATGAAAGTCAAAAGAAATTGGTGTTTTGCACACAAACGGTGAACACCCCTCAAAACCACCCACACTTCTTCGGACTCACTTTCCTATCTTGGCCCTTTGCGGCTCCATCCAGGGCCACAATGGCCTCGTGCTGGTTCCATCTGTACTGGGTGGCCTTAAAGAACCGGCCGGGTGGCCCTGCCTGCTGCCTCCGAAGCTGCAGCTCGAACCAAAGCTCCCGTTGCCGGAGCTGCTTCACCGCCTGCATGGCCCAAAAGCAACTCCACGAACTGGGCCATGTCGCCCCCGCTAGCGCTTGAGGGTCTCAAGCTTCCCACATTCCCAATGAGTTCTCTGTCACACCAACGGGGCGAACGGGAGACCCGTCGGAGCGAGGAAACAGATGGTGCACTTCGACCTCGGAGACTCGCGCGCTAACGGACAGAGATCTGAAATGGTGAAAGAGTCCGTCGGCGTCAGAGCACCCGATCATTGTTGGCGATAGAGGGGTTCTAATTGTCGGCTGCATTTATAGCTAGTATAGGAACTCGAATTCGCTGGATTCCATGCCGGCATCTCGTGACAGACTCCCAGCCATTGGGGCCCCCTTTCGTCACCCTCGCCTCACTCTTTCGTCGTTGCTCCTCGTCCAGAAGCCCCGAGCGAGACATGCGGAGGGTGGTCGGTGGGGCATCCTGAGATCGGCAACGAAGGACCCGTTGGCGTCGGCGGACCCGTGGCGGATCCAAAAGGAGGACAGGTTCGGAACCAGTGGATTCACCGCCTCAATGACATGTTGAAACAGTTGAAACCCACCTGAGCTTTAGATCCTTGGTGTGGACACACCCCAAGGTCAACCATCTCCCCACAGTGGACCATTTGAGCTGCTGCCAACATAGAGGCAACGGCCACGCCACGCTTGGCCCGAGAGTCGGAGCCCAGCTTGTTGCCACGCTGCCCAGCGTCCTTCAATCTCTTTGCGGATTTGGGGAGCACAAGCCTAGCAGGCCTAGCATGGCATTGATTTGGAGGCAGGCCATGTGGATGTTGCAGTCACGGAATGCTGAGCACCCAACAACGTACCAGCTCTCAAAAGTCATGACTGGGACTGGAGGAACAGCGAGTGTTGTTACCCAGCACATTTAAGGAAAAGCACCTTTGATTCATGGGGACTGACCTTGAAGCAAAGTGGGCAGGTCACGTTTTTCATCCTGCAGCGAGAACTCAGCCTCCAAGCGCTGGAGCTCCTGCAGAAGTCAAAAAATTCAAGACTGGGTCTGGTTGGATGTCTCCTGTTGGACGTTTTAACCCAAAATCCCAAGACGTTGGGTGCAGCACTCGGGGCTCCACGTGTGTCAGAAATTGCTCCGCTTGGTCGAACTAGCATCTTCTCAGCCAACCAAATGGCTCCGCTTCTCATGGGTACAGACTGATGGATGGGTCTGATCCTTAAAACGCTAGCAGACCATGCGGTCGCATTGAACGATGTCTTGGAACCACTGGTTCTTTTGGTTCGGTCATCGGTGGTGACACTGGGCGCGCGCAACCTGCGGAGGCTCGGCACTCGGGTCACGGAGTCCGAGCCGCCTCTCGCAGATACTCGGGATGGTCACAGCTTTCAGGGCCACCTGGGGACGACTCCGTGGGACGAACGAACCGGTGGACGGGTGAAGTATCAAAAAAAACTATTTATCGCATCAATAAAAAAATTATTCAAGGGGATCAATAAAAAATTAATTACTTAATCAAAAAAAAAGTAATTCTACCACGAACCCTCTTTGGGCTGGGCGTCGGCCTGTATACTAATCTCTTTCCTCCTGCCTGGCCTCCTGGCTAACAGGCAGTTTCCGCTCAGAGTCGAAATTCGTGGCGGGAATCTTGTGGCACAGGGGCGGGTTGGGGGAGGGGGATTAAATCACGTTTCCTGTCCCTTCCTGGCTTTCTGGCCTCTTTTTTACAGCAGCAGCAGCTTTAGTTTTTAAAAGTCAAGTTTCCGCTCAAATCTTCCTGTGTGTCATACTAAGTTGTTGGTTCCTGGCTGATTGGCTTTTTTGTCTAGAATGACAGCAGCTTTAATGTTCAACAGGCAAGGTTCCGCTTACAGTCAGATTTCGTCGCAAGACTTTTGAATAGCATTTGCAGATTTGGTGGGCAAGGTTTACCAAGGTTCCACTAAAAGCCTGATTTCATGGCAGGGACGTTGAATACTATCTGCAGATTTCGTTGCGCGGGAGGGGGGTTGGGGGGGGAGGGCGCAGCGCCTCCCCCCCCACGAGCGCTCGGAAAAAACATGCAATGAATTATACAGAGCCAAACGAAAGTCAGGAAATCTATGTACAGGAGTAAGACACATCGAGTGGTAGAATCGGCCTCCTGTTCGAAAAGTGTAGAGGCAGGGTGTGAGTATCAAGATCAAATCGGCAAAAGTGAGTGCGTGAGTCAAGTTGAAATGGCAACATCCTTCTCTAAATTTTACCCTCGGGTGGCTCACCAAAGGGTGAGTCAACTTGGAAGGGCAACATCCTTCTTTAATTTTTACCCCTGCATGGCCCACAAAAGGGTCAGTCAAGTTGAAATGGCAATTTACCCCTGCATCACAAAAGGGTGAGTGAACTTGGCATAGCCACTTCCCTCTCTAAACTTTAGCCCTGCATTGCACACAAAAGGGTGGGTCAAGTTGGGGTGACCACTTCCTTCTCTAAATTTCACCCTGCCCAC